AAAAGTGCATTAGAAAAAATTAAGATGTAATATTTACGATTCATTGTATGGATATTTAATTAACACATGATAGAGAAAATAATCAGAAGGTTGGTGGTTCAAACCCACCAGCCACTCCTCTGAAGGAAGGTTGGGTAATTTACTTCCGTAGTGATACTGCCTCAGCAACCCAAGGAGGGGTCACTATGAGTTTGGGTCCAACTCGACGGCACATAATAACAACAACAACAGAGAAAATAAACATTATCTCACTACCTGAAATCCTACTATGTTCTCCGCTTCCATGAGCAACAAAGATGAATGATGTCCTTTTTGAGCCTTCTAGAAATGTCCAGAGTAAGAGAATTGACTGAATAAGTATGCAAATGATGACCACAAAAGAAGAAAAAGGTAAGAATGTTAGGAAAAAAGTACCAGGAGGAAAGGGATTAAGATGAAAAGTTTTTTCGGCAATCTGTAAAGATTTACTTTAGTAAATGGTCGAGATAATCCCTGAAGGGTAGATTTGATTTCTACCTGGAAGAGATGTTAAGAGTTGCAAGGTTAAAATAAACATGTGCTACTATGAAGCAGTTGATACTAAGAAATGTTCTCATAAAACAGTTTGAAATAGACATGAACAACTTCAATACTTGATCTCTTCTACTTAATTTCATAAAGTATGATGTGGTGATTAAAATTTAATTTCCAAATATTATTTATCTACAATTATATTTAGTAGAATTCCTGTTTCCTCAACTAATAGTAAGTCCCTAGCAGTTACTCATCCAGCTTCATGTCTGTACTCCTTTGATATGCCGAGATTCCAATCAAGACAAATCCAATCAGAATCACTGGCATGGAGCTGTGGCATTGATGTTTGAAAAAAAATTCTCAGATAATTTTAATATGCAGCTAGGAATGCAGACCACCAGGCTAAACTGATGTTGGACAATTTTGGTCTTCATTATAACAGATGCCTAGCTGCATATGGGGAGCTCTGGTAGCATAGTGGCTAAGACACTTGCCTGCTAACCAGACGGCTGGCGGTTCAAACCCACCAGCCACTCCTCGGAAGGAAGGTTGGGCAATCCTACTTCCGTAGTGATACTGCCTTGGAAACCCAAGGAGGGGTCTCTATGAGTCAGGGCTGACTCGACGGCACATAACAACAGCTGCATATGACCAAATATGACCAAAATATGACCTCGATTATATCCCTCCTGAATTTAGAGACAATCTAAGGAATAGATTTGATACATTGAACACCAATGACCAAAACCCAGAGAAATTGTGGGATGACATCAAGAACATCATCCATAAAGAAAGCAAAAAGTCATTAAAAAGACAGGAAAGGAGGAAAAGACCAAAATGGATGTCAGAAGAAATCTGAGACTTGTGAACGGAGAGTAGCTAAAGCAAATGGAAGAAATGACAAGAAAAAAGAGCTGAATGGATTTCAAAGAGCAGCTTAAGAAGACAAAGTCAATTATTATAATGAAATGTGCAAAGACATGGAGTTGGAAAGCCAAAAGGGAAGAACATGCTCGACATTTCTCAAGTTGAAAGAACTTAAGAAAAAATTCAAGCCTTGAGTTGCAATATTGAAGGATTATATGGGCAATATATTCAATGATGCAGGAAACATCAAAAGAAGATGGGAGGTATACACAGAGTCACTGTACCAAAAAGAATTGGTTGATGTTCATCCATTTTGGGAAGTGGTATATGATCAAGAACCAATGGTATTAAAGGAAGAAGTCAAAGCTTCACTGAAGGAATTGCTGAAGAATAAGGCTCCAGGAATTGATGGAATACCCACTGAGATGTTTCAACAAATGGATGCTGCACTGGAGGCAGTCACTTGTCTATGCCAAGAAATTTGGAAGACAGCTACCTGGCCAACTGACTGGAAAAGATCAATATTTGTACCCATTCCAAATAAAGGTGATCCCATAGAATGTGGAAATAGTAAACAATATCATAATATCACATGCAAGTAAAATCCTGCTGTAGAGAATTTAAAAATGGTTGCAGCAGTATATTGAGAACTTCCAGAAATGAAAGCTGGATTCAGAAGAGAACGTGGAATGAGGGATATCATTATTGATGTCAGATGGATCTTGGCTGAAAGCAAAGAATACCAGAAAGATATTTACTTGTGTTTTATTGACTATGCAAAAGCATTCGATTGTGTGGATCATAACAAATTTTGGATAACATTGAGAATAATGGGAATTCCAGAACACTTAATTATGCTCATGAGGAACCTGTACATAGACCAGGAGCTGTCATTTGAACAGAACAAGGAGATACCACATGGTTTAAAATCAGGAAGGTAGTGTGTCAGAGTTGTATACTTTCACTATACTTATTCAACGTGTATGCTAAGCAAATAATCTGAGAAGCTAGACTGTATGAAGAAGAAGGTGGCCTCAGGATTGGAGGAAGACTTCATTAACAACCTGCGATACACAGACGGTATAACTTCGCTTGCTGAAAGTGAGGATGACTTGAAGCACTTACTGATGAAGATTAAAGACTTCAGTTTCCAGTACAGATTGTTGTCATTGTGATTACCTCTCAACATAAAGAAAATGCAAATCCTCAGATCTGGACCAATAAGCAGTGTCACAATAAATGGAGAAAAGATTGAAGTTGTTAAAGATCTCATACTTCCTTGTTCCACAATCAACACCAGTGGAAGTAGCAGTCAAGACATCAGATGACATATTGCACTGGGTAATCTGCTGCAGAAGACCTCTTTAAAGTGCTGAAGAGCAAAGATGTCTCCTTGAAGACTAAAGTGGGCTTAAATCGAGCCATGGTATTTTCAGTCGCCTCATATGCATGTGAGAACTGGACAATGAACAAGGAAGACTGAAGATGAGTTGATGCTTTTGAGTTGTGGTGTTGGCAAAGAATACTAAAAGTACATGGACTGCCAAAAAACGAACAAATCTGTCCCAGAAGAGGTGCAGCCGGCATGCTCCTTGGAAGCGAAAGGGCCAGACTTTGTCTCACCTACCTTGATCATGTCAGAAGGGACCATTCCCTGGAGAAGGATATCATGCTTGGTAAAGTGGAAGGTCAGTGAAGAAGGCAAAGGCCCTCAACAGGATGGACTGAAACAGTGACTGCAAGATGGGCTCAGGTATAGCAAGGATTGTGAAGCTGGCACAGGACCGAGTAGTGTTTCATTGCACATAGGGTCACTATGAGTCAGACCCGACTCCACAGCACCTAACAACAATATAACAGATCCAGCTTCTTTGTCCTTTCTCTTTTCTGGTTCAATAAATAAGAACTTTCCAGTATTACTTTTATTAGCAGCTACCTCTTACTGAGTATTTACTATGTGCCAGGCACTATGCCAAACATTTAGTGTGTGCACTATCTCATCCAATTTCCATAGCAACCCTTGGAAGTAGGTGCTATTTCCTAAATAACTTGCCCAGTTATTGTCCCAGTATGGAGACTAAACTCCCAAACAGTGTACTACACTTCTCTCCTCTCTTTCACCCCTGATAGGGAACTAAGTGTTCAGAACTCCAAAATCTATCTGTAGTTATAAATAAACATTATCTAGGAAGAGCAGCCTGAGAACATGCAGCAAAATGACATAAGATCAAGTATTGAGAAAGCAGGAAACAGAAAAGGCAGTGAAGAGTTGATGAGGGCCCACAAGACCTCTAAATCCCTGCATCCCCACCCCCATACCTTTCACCACCCCAACTTAGGCCAACTTTTAAAATCCACTGCTTCTTATCCGACAATTTTCAGGCATAGTTGTTGGGTGTGATGGAGTGGTTTTTGACCCATGTGAAGCGCAGAATTGCCCCACAGGGTTTGCTAGGCGGTTAGGCCTAGAAAACAGGAATTCTACTAAATATAATTGTAGATAAATATTTGGAAATTAAATTTTAATCATCTTTATTCCCTGGAGCGCTGGATGGGTTCCAACCACCAACATTTTGGTTAGCCCTGCGGTACCCCAAAATGCCCACTGCCATCCAGTGGATTCTGACTTATAGTAACCCCCACTGGTTTTTTCCAAGGTGGTAAATATTGAAGAAAGTAGATTGCCCACGACTCCACGGCAGTTTATTTTTTCTTTCACTACCTTTGAATCCGATTGGACTCATAGCGACCCGACCCCTCCTTGGTTTTCCAAGGCGGTAACTCTGCTGAAATTGCCCAACCTTCCTTCTGAGGAGTGGCTGATGGGTTTGAACCGCCAGCCTTCTGGTTAGCAGTCAAATGCCTTAGGCACTGTGCCACCAGAGCTCCTTACTGAGTTACCAGGGTTGCTTAAATAGAATAGCCTTTATATTAAAGGGAAAAACAGGTAATTTTCCAAACACAGATGCAGTTTAGGAATTCATCATCACTGGGGCTTGAGATGTCTCCTTACGCCTTCCTCCTTTTCTCAAAGGGAGCGAGTGTGTCCAGCCAGTGTATCCCCAGCCCCCGTCCTCCAGACTCTGGTCTGAGAGCCCAGTCCCTGCAGTAACCGTGGAGTGGAGCGGGTGGTCCTTCACCGCCTGCCTCCATGAGGACCCGGCGGGGTGGGTACTGGGGGCCGCATCAGCCACCCCTCAAAATCTGGGGAAGGTAGGTGAGGATAATCCGATGCTGTGCCCCGGAGGAGGGCGCGACCGCAGTTTCAGTTTTCCTGGAGAGATGGGGATAGCCCAATCTTCGGGTACAAAACGTTCTTGTTTAATCGAAGGCACCGAGTCAGGGACCCCGGCTCGGGGTTGAGGCGGGCGCCAGCCCCGCCTCCAGACATTTCGCATTGCGCATTGCGGTGGACCCTACAGTTCCTGGCCCGGAGCGTCCCCGTGGGCAACTAGCTAGCTGCTCTCGGTTGCCTTGGCAACTCCGCGCGGCTGGCGGTCTGGGCGCTCGCCACGGGGCTAGAAGCTCGCAGAGAGGCAGGGCTGTAGCCGGAAGTGACGCGACTTCACCTGCCTAGCGAGGGCGGGGGTGCAGAGGTGCCGTTGCTGCGAGCCAGTCGGGAGCGCGAGGCGCCGGGAGACCCAAGTCCCCGGGTGGAGCCGCCTACCTGCAGCTGCCGCCCACGGCCCGTCAGCCACCATGGAGCTTATGCTGCGTTTTGTGCTCCTGTGGGGACTCGCTGGTGAGTGCAGGCAAGACGGCCCGAAGCACCCCGCCGCTGGCACAGCCCGCGGCTACCGGGGAACAATGGGCGTGGGGGAGGGGGCCGGCGTGATTTTGGGGCGCCTTGTGGGTGCTAGGTGCGGACTGCATTGCACTGGGTAGTTCTGCCCACCTGGTGCACGAGCCAAGAGGGTGGAGCAGCTGGACTAGGGGCTGTGCGGGGGGCGGGGGGTGTTTCGGGGCCGTTCGCGGAGATTCGAGATGAAGGGCGGCGGTGGCGGAATTCGCTGTTGGCTACAGCGTGCTGGTTTCCCAGAAGGCTCCCAGACCATTCTTTGCGGGCTGTGCTTTTTGTGCTCCTGCTCCTTTCTCTTGTTAGCCTCTTATCATGTCGGTCCAGAGTTAACCCTATTTCAAAAGCCTTGGGCGGCGAGTTTTCAGGTGTCGAGCAGTCCAAGCGGAGAGGCTGAATTACAAACGCCATTATTAAGTGGATACTGAGCTTTTCAGTGCCTCGGATCGCCCGAGGTACCTCTAGGAAAGAGGCGTTGAGGAACACTATCTTAGGCATTCTTGATCTCGTACAAGAGGCAAGCCCCGGCTAGAGCTCAGTAGACACAGATGGGTGAATTACGAAGTAGACCGTGGAATATCAAAGGGAAATTTCTGCAAAAACGCGGTATTTATGCAGTCACAGAGTAAAGTGCAAAGGAAAATTTAGTAACCTCCGTTTTGAGTTTGAAATTACTTAGTTGGTTTTGAAGATAAGACGGAATGGCTTGTACAGAGCTTCACCAGGTACATTTTTCGTCTGCGCGTTGCCCCAAGAAGGAATAAAAAAGGTATTTCAAAAATGTGTGGACCATTAGAAGACAATCATTTTGACACTTAAAAAAAAAGAATCTGTTCCTCTATCAGTGTTTAAATCATCTAATCTTATTTGTCAGACTAAGAATTTGTCGCATGCATTTTATAACCAAAGAAAAAATCCATAGGTGAAAGCGTAGGAGGCACACTGCAGGCTCCCGAAGGATAATTCCTTTTTTTTTTTTTCTTTTAAGTGCTCTGTAAAGCAGGATCGGGTGGCTCTTGCTGTTGGGATGGCTCTCTGCTTCCTGTTGAAATGTTAATTGCATTGTTGGATGCCACAGCTGTGAGCATTACTCATGGGATCAAGTTGATCAGATCAGCATTTTATTCACAAGTCTAATCTTGGATCACCTAACAACAAACAAGAATCTTGATCAAAGTCTCTAACACTTACTCCACCTTTTTGATACATATCATTTAGACTTGGCTTAAATTTCCAAAGTAAAGCTTCCTTAAAAGATGTAGAGTTATGTCACCAGTTTATGTGGTACACATACGTTCCCACCTTTGTTTTGTCAAGACCAAAACTGAAGTTGAAGTTGGCAATGTTTATGTTTTCTTAGAGAAAAAAAAAAATTTAGCCCACATCTAAAGCAGAAAAGTGGAAGAACATAAGCAAACCACTTAGAGGACATTTTTCCTGGATGTCCAGATAATTGTTTGGATTTCATTTTTTCTGGAATGCCTCACTTTGATGGGCAAAATCTCAGCCAAGGATATTTTGATATATACAAAGTTATTGTGCTCATAAGGTGTACACTGGAGTACAGTGAACATTTCCTTAGAGGACAGTGTCTTGTTTTCACCTAAACAAGATTACTATTTTAATTCTAATTGTCAAGCTTAGGAATCAGCGTGGTTTTGAGCACTTGAAGTATTTCTGATCATTTTAGAGATGTGTTGCTAAGAACTCAAGTTCAGTGTTAACATGCTTGTGTCTTACTTTGGCAAATGCAGGAGGAGGCTTTCGTATTAGAAATTGCAATGCTATCTGTAGTAGATTTTCCTCTAGATCTGTATCTATATAGGTTATAAAGAGTTTTGTGGTATATTCTAGATGTCAACGGGATGCCTCCTGATGCATTTTTATTGCTTACTTAGTACCTGGGAAACCCAAGGAGGGGTCGAGTCGGGTCAGACTCGACGGCACGTTAACAACAACAACGCTTAGTACCAGATCATACTAATAGTAATAGTTTACTAGTTATTAGTACACTAGTAGTGGTAGTAGTAGTAGCAGCGATCAACAAAAAAAAAAGCTCACTGCCATCGAGCTAATCTCAACTCATAGCAACCCCCATTTGGTTTCCAAGGCTTGCAGTCTTTGTGGAAACAGACTGTCTCATCTTTCTTCCACAGCAGCAATCATCAAAAAACCAAACCAAACCCACTGCCATCAAGTTGATTCCAACTCATAGCAGTCCCCATTGGATTTCTGCGGCGGTAAATCTTTACAGAAGTAGGTTGCCCCGTCTTCCTTCGGTGGAGTGGCAGGGGGATTAGAACTGCCAAGCTTCTGGTTAGCAGTCAGATGCCTTAGGCACTGTGCCACCAGAGCTCTTTAGTACAGCAGCAATAGTAGTAAAATAATTCCTTAAATGAGCAATTATTAAATGCCAGGCACTATTCTAAGAGTTTTATGTGTAGTCAATCTACTGAGCAACTCTATAGAGTAAGTATTATAATTATCCTTGATGTACAAGGAAGAAAACAGACACAGAGCAGTTAAATATCTTAACTTGATGAGGTCACAAAATTGATCCCGAATCTGTGCTCTTCTACCTCGCAAGCAGCTAGATACTTCCCCCTTGATTGCTTCTAATTGACCTCCTAATTTCTACGAGTGGTCATCTGTCATTTATTAAAAACTTGTCACTGATTTGACTGTGTGCCAAGGACTGAGGGCTTTTATAATTAACCCTTTAATTTATGGATCTTAGTTAAATTCTTTCAGGCACTGTGAAGAAATTAGTATTCTCCAGGGCTGGGACTGCTAGTTATTGTAAACTGACTCATGTACCCATAGAAGTTAGGTTTCTGCTGTTTCTTACACTGTCAGTGTGAATGGAACTTAAAAAGGACTGGCCAGTGATTCTGGTCTCCCAACCTCTTTTGATGGGTGAATTATTGCCCTCTGTTCCTCAGTAGCATAGTGGCTAAGTCACTTGCCTGCTAACCAGAAGGCTGACGGTTCAAACCCACCAGCCACTCCTCGGAAGGAAGGCTGGGCAATCCTACTTCCGTAGTGATACTGCCTCGGAAACCCAAGGAGGGGTCGCTATGAGTCGGGGCCGACTCGATGGCACATAACAACAACAACAACAATGTTCCTCAGTTGCTTTATGTGTGAAGAATGAGAATCATGCTGTCTGAGTTATAGTGGGAAGTAAAATGAGGTTTGTCACTTTGCTTTACTTAGAGTCTCCCTTTACATTAAAAATAATAATACAGTTATTAGGTGTGAAGTTTATCTCCTCCATGCCCCTCCCATTATATTTATAATTTCTGCCATGATACCACCATCAGAATAAAAGTTGCTGCCAAGACTAGCCTCCCTGCATTGACTCCTAACTCTGTTGTGGAATCTCCATCAGTTACTCATCTCTTTGCATTAGATCAGAGGGCAGGAGCAATTGCCTGTGTTCACTATTAGAGCCCCAGTGTCAGCTTGTGGTGCATGGCTGATAGCAAGGGTTCAGCAAATGTTTGTTGCATGACTGCGGTTTCAGCTATCCTCCAATAGGCATATACACACACACCCCTGTTCCTTGCTTACCCGATATCTTTTATCTGACATTTCACATTTATGACAATAGTAAAAAATCCACCATCTGACTGTTTTACGCATTAATGATCCACATCTGGCAATAATGAATTCGGAGGTGCAAGATGAAAGTAACTTTGGCTGTGATGGTTAACGTTATGTGTCGCCTTGACTTGTCCATGATTTTCAGTCATTTCGCAGTTATGTAATGATATAATTTGGCAATTACAGGGTGATGTAATTTGTCAGTTATGTAATGATGTAGTCATCTTCTATTTTGTGATCTGATGTTGTCCTCCTCCATTTTCGAATAATGCCAATTTTTGCATAACAACCTGGTCTTTGTAACCTAACCACGCCAGTAAATGAGGAGTGGGTATACAAATGGTATAATTCTCATTAGTTCCATTTCCCTTTCCTTCCCTTTTCATCCTAGAAAGATTGTCCCTATAGTTAGCATTCCATTAGCCTTACCTTATTCAGATGTTAGTAAAAAGAAGTTGAGATTGTTTTTTTCTCTGGCCTTACTGTTCTATCTCACCCTCTTGCTTCAGTTGCCCAAGGTGACAATAAGCCATGTGCCAAATCCATCATCCCTTTAGTGCTCCTTCACACCTCTTTGTTCTTTCCTACCTTGTTGAACTGCCCTTCGCTACCTTCCTTCTCCAGTAGTTAGCCTTCCCCATGTTTTGGCACATATCCCTTGTCTTAATCTTCATTTTAAACTTGGCTGACCTCATTTATCCATCAGGGTGCCCTCCAAGTAGTCACTGAAAATCTACTGCCATCAAGTCGATTCTGACTCATAGGGACTCTGTAAAACTCAAAACAAACTCACTGCCATCAAGTCGATTCTGACTCATAGCGACCCCTATTCAGTTTGTAAGGCTGTAAATCTTAGGGAAGGAGATTGCCCCATCCTCCTTCTGTGGAGCATTTGGTGGGTTGGAACCTCCAACCCTCTTGTTAGCAGTCAAATGCCTTAGGCACTGAGCCACCAGAGCTCCTTATAGGGACCCAAGAGTTTCCAATTCTGTAAATCTTTATTTAAGATTGCTTCATCTTTCTCCCATAGAGCAGCTAATAGTTAGAACCACCCTACTTTTGGTTAGCAGCTAAATGATTTAACCACTATGCTGTTCGGGCTCTTCAAGTAGTTGCTAGTGACTTACAAAGATTTCCAACTCTGCCCACCTCTTCTTTGAATCTTGAGCCACTCTTTCCAACTGCCTAACCTTCGCCTTCCACCTGACTGCACTCGAGTATCTCATACTCTGCTTGTCCCCCACTGAACTCATCAGTTTAAATCATCCAGTCATTCACATATTTATTAATGGCCTACTGTGTACTGTGTCCTGTGCTAGGTACCACTATAGTAAAATAAG